CTGTAAACCTGCATGAATCAGAGAGGAACTCTATGGTTCTTACAATCTTGACAGATGAGTAATGGCAGACATATTTCTCTTAAATTAAGCTATTTGCATTACTTGCTATATGCTAAATAAATATATATTTGCATTACCAATTTTCTTCTGTGTAAAGCTGCAAGTGCTGGGTATGTTCTGGATTGGTGATTCTTAAGTTTGCTGGACTGAATGCTTATAATGGAGACACCTGAGGAGTTCTGTGCACATTTTTAGGAGTTACAGGCTTGGTTCTAACTTTATACAATGTGCTTAAATCAAAATGCATTTATGATTTTGTTTTGCCTTATTTTTTTACGTGACTCTAATCACTTTGCTAATAAACTACCATTTACAGTTAAGCAAATGCACCCAGGCATAAGATCATAAGGCAGACAAGACTTTCTGCTATGATTAGTGAAGTTAAAATGAGATCTTTAGCAGAGACCCATCACTGACAGGCATTAAAATTGTGGGAAAACTTTCCCCACACATTTCCCATCAACTCAAGCCTGAGCCACAAGAGCTGTTAGTTTAAAGTTTCACTTTGCATTTTATGACAAAATCATGATATAGGTTGTGTATTTTCACTGTGTGCAGGACTATTTGTCTGCTATACTATGAAGAACCAATTTGTAGTAGTGATTAAGGCACCAAGCTAGAAATTGGGAGATCCTGCCTTCTAGTCCTACTTTATGCACAAAACCAGTCATTCTTTCTTTGGGCCAGTCATTCTTTCTCAGCCCCAGAAAAAAGCAATGACAAACCACTTTAAAAAAAAAAAAAAAAGTTGCCAAACTGCAGGTACCAGTTCAGGCAGTTGCCAGGAGTCAAGATTGACCTGAAGGCATGAACCAACCCCCCCCCCCCAAAAACCCATGAAGTAATTGGTAGTTAGTTTGGAGATAAATATTAAAGAGAACAAAGTGTGAAAATCATTTGTTTGTCAGCACATGCAGGGTAAAAAGGAGTAACTGGTTTGGGACAGCTTTATGAATTGATTCACATATTGTGCAAGACATTGTCTGTTTGGTGCTTGTTTAGTAATATATGAATCCAGCTATTGATGCATAAACCATGATTTGTGACTTGGTATGATACAAAAGAAGAGTCAACTGTGGTTCATTGAGACAATGGCTTAACAGAAGTCCAGTTGATGATAACTGTTTATCTTCAAATATGATGCTGACACAGGTAAATATATTCCAGAAATTTTGAAATTGGATTAAAAGCTAATTTTCTATAGAATCCACAAGTACATCACACAAATTGTCATACTTTTGATTTTATATTGGATGAACAGCAAATAGATGGAAATATACAAAATCTGGATTTCATAGTTGAGGTTGGGATTCAAGTTGAAATAACAGATCTTAAATAAGGCAATTAAAAGGTATAATATCAATCTTTCCAATGTTAGGCTTGTAACATATGGCTGAAGTACATTTAATTCTTCTGAAATTTTTTTACATATAATGTAGCAATTAGAAATATCCTAATTTTTTTTTTAAAAATGAACATGGAAAAAATTCTGAATTCATTTGAAAACTACAGTAGCCTATTACAGCCTACAGAAAACTAAAGCACTGCAACATTCATTCAGATCTATTTTAAGGCTACTAAATCAGGGTGCAAAAATCTGAATGAGTAGTAGTTGGTAGTAACAACTGGCTGGATGTTTTTGGGCCAGTCCCTCTCTCTTAACCCACCCTATCTCATGGGGTTGTTATTGTGGGGAAAATAGGAGGAAGAAGTATTAGGTGTGCTTATCACCTTTGAATTATTTATCAATAATAAAGGATGGGGGAAAAAATCAAACAAACAAGATACCAAAAGTCTTGCTCCTGTACTTTTGTAGCGTATTTGCAACCAGGTTTATTAGCCCTATTATATTTCCCAAGTTTTTCTTTATGCCAATAATATTTTCAGAGGCATTTTTATGAAGTAAACTTGGCTGTTTAGGCCCTGCAGCATACGCAATCCAATGGAAAGCTCTCCTTACAAGCAACATCTCTTGGAAAGATGAATATTACACACTTTTCTTTAAAATATTCATCTTCTGATGATATTCATATGTAACAGATTATGCAAAAAAGTGTATTTTAACAAAGATGTTTGATCTTTGACTAATATATGGAATTATACAGCTAACAGGTTTACATAAGCTTCTTTTTTATCTCTCTTTAAGAAGCAAACTGAAAAGTTTTATTCGAAGTACAATAGGTGAAAAGCAGTCAATAAATGCATCCCAGATTATTGTGCTTACATTATGAAATACTATCCTACTAATCAAAAGAATCAGGATGAGTGATCTAAATTCTAAAAGATACAGCAATGCAATATAACCCTCAATATATGAAAAAATCCAGAACTTTTTGAATGACTTAAAGCGACCAAACATTTTCCTTTTAGCACTGCAAGGATTTCAGCTTCTACAGTTATGAAGTTTCTCCCATTTATATCTGAGTGAGAAACTTATGACCTCTAAATGTTGCAAAACTACAATCCCCACATCTCTGTGTAGATCAGTGCTACCTGCATACTATCTGCAATAGATAATATATTTGCACTATGCTACATGGAAAAGAATATATGCTTAGAATCTAAAGAGATGACTTTGGGTCATTTCTCTCTCAGCCTAAACTCACATCACAGGGTTGTTGTGTGTAAATAAGCAGCAACAGCATGTACACCTCTCAAGTTAACAAAAAATAAAGATGGGATATAATCAAATAAACTGCTTTAAATCTTGATACAGTAATCCTGATTTTTTTTCAATAACATGAAGTGTTGAAGAACAGTTGAACAGAAAGACATAATTATTAGGGAAGTAAAAAAAAAAGGAATGTGAGCACCTGTGTGTCTTATGTTTCAGCACTTTTAGGCCCAATTTTTATTTTCTGTTAAAGCGTGTAGCTGCCAATTACAGATAGATGACTAAGAATACAATCTGTGAAATCTAACTAAATCAGCTAGCATCAACAAGGACACCCAGTTTACACTAATCTGATTAACTGATGCAAGCCTCTGGTTTTGAGAGAGCCTCTAATCCCCATGAGCACTTTTTCAGAGGTTTGGAAGGGGTCATTCCAGTCTGCACAAGCTGAATAATGTTTTGAAGAATTCAAATTTGTAGTTTTAATATCCAATCTATGTGGGTGTGATAGTTAAATAATGAATTGAAACATATGTTATAGACCAGTGGTTCTCAACCTTTCTAATGCCGCGACCCCATAATACAGTTCCCCATGTTGTGGTGACCCCAACCACTCATACATCACTGGGTGCCAGGAGTGTGGCCAATGAAAAGGGGGGGGGGAAATGGCAGACAGCCTTGTTTGGCGACCCCTGTGAAATGGTTGTTCGACCCCCACAGGTTGAGAACCACTGTTATAGATTAATCTGAAAGTGGAAAAAAATCTCTGCATTTTAAGTGTAAAACTCCCTTACATGCTGTCTCAACTTTTTGAGTACTAACTATATTTCTCTGAAAGCTAACAAACAAGATAGTATATAAATTACATGTTCTTAGGCCTTAGAATATTTTAATTGTGCTGGCAGATTTGGACTGCAAAAGTACAGATAACTACAAGACAGAAGCCCAAATATTGCCTATTGTCATATGTCAATATCATTTGAGGTTTTGCAGCAATTCCAGTAGCTCTAATTCTAGGGTTTCTTTATATTATGTTTAGCACAATATATTGTATCATTACACAAATTATATTACTCCTAATAAATAATTACTTCTTTTAATATAACTCTTATCTTTACTGTGGTCATAATTACTATGCTAGACAGATGTACAAAAAGTGAAACTGGAGAAAAAGCTGATACAAGTTTGTTTCAGATAGGCTCAGCCTTTCACAATATATATAGAGAGAGCCGAGAGGGAAAACAATTTGTTCTAGAATGTAGGTTTGATCCAAAGAACTTTATTACAAAGGGACTCTGAAGGGTTTTTAATCTCCGTGCACATTTTGGGCAGTCATAAAGATTAAAATTTTGAATTAAAAACATCGGGCTATGTGGAACTCTAGAAACAGAGGAAGAACGGCAGAGACTGCAGATCTAACTTGACCAGGCTGTCCCAACCCCGTCCACACTGCCAAGGAACTCCCTGCAGGAGGGGCGGGAAAATCCAAGCGGGTTTTGGGGCTGGGCCGCCAAACTTTCTTACCTAGGGCTAGGTGGCCAAGTTGCGTTGGGGGAGGAAGTTGGAGGGTAAGAGAAGCTGGAAAAAAAACGGGGTTGAGTGCCAGGGCAAACCCCTGCTCCCGAGTCACCACTGCAGCCGAAAGAGATACCCGCGGCCGAAGTTAAACCAGCCGAGGCTAGGCAGGGCCGCGTGAGGCGGCGGTCAACGCCAGGACTCGGAGCCTTCTCACCGCCGGAGAAGAGGAAGGGGCCTCCCGCGCCGCCACGCCAACATGAAGAAGACGGCCGGGAGCGATCGCCCAGGGCCGGTTCTCCCTGCAGGCGCGGAGGTCAAGAGGGCGGCGGTGGCGGGAGAGCAGCGTTCCCGCTACTGCCTCCTCCCCGGAACCCTGGACGGCCGCCGAATCGTCCCCTCCCCGTGGAGAAAGCGTTGCGGCGGCGGCGCCGTTCCCTCCGCTGCCCGCTCGCCGTCTCCATCCGCCATTATTCTTTGTTCCTCGCGCGGGCCGGCGGCGGCTGGGCTCGGCGGGAGAGGAGCGGCTGAGGGGAAAGAGGCGCCTCCATTTTAAATTAAGGCCACCCCGAGGCGGAGGGGGAGACGACCCGGCGCTGCTGGGGTCGCCAGGCCGAAGCTCGGCTCTCCTTCCTTCTCTCTCGCTCTCCCCGACTACCGTCTCCCCCCCGCCCCGAAGCAACCCCGCCTCAACGGCCGCGCCGCTGCTGGTACTGGTGGTGGCGGCGGCCCTGTGGCTGCCGCCCCTCCCTGTTTTTCTTCTCGGGCTGTTAGTCGCCTTCCTTCCTTCTCTTTGCTTTTCTCCTCTTACCGGCTACAGGCTGCTCCGTCACTGCTTTCGTTCGCGCCTAGGCTCTCGCCGCAGTTTTATTCTCTCCCCCACGTAACACACCGCGTCAAACTACACCTCCGCCGCGTCACTCACATAACACACACACGCTCTCTCAGGCTCTCCCAGCCCCGGCGACAGGCAGGCAGCAGCGGCCGACTGAGAGGGAGAGAGAGGAGCCAGCCAGGGAGCAAGCGCCGCAGAGCATGCCTCGGCTCTCCTCCGCCCCCGCCCCGCGCACGCCCCCTCCCTCCTCTCTGTGCACGGAAAGAACCGAACGGCCCCCACGGAAATGCCCGAAGGGGCTGAGCGGCCGCGGCGGAAAAGAACGACCGGCAGACTGCCCGCGGAGGGTGGGGTGGGGGGTAACTCCTGCTGTTACAGCGGAAACGATCGGCAGACATTTTAGTTGCTCAGCCTGACCGAGAAAGCGCAGATCCACGTTCATGATCCAAGAGAAGGGCAGGGCTACGAGGAAGAGCACGCCTCTCGGGCTGCTTGCTTTCTTGGCAGAGAGGAATGGCCCTCGCTTTGCCCAGTAACCCTCCGCCACTTCCGCGGTAAGGGAAACGGAGGTTGTGTGTTAATGCCAGGGGCGCAAATTTCCGAAAGGAAACGAGTACGGCGAATACTGTAAGGGAGCGGCAGGAAGAGCAAAGCCGGGGAGAATCTAGGGTAGAAAGCCAGGCGGGCGGAGGGAGATCGCGATTCTGCCTGGATGGAAATTGGCTGCTTTTGCAAAAGCGCGCCAGGACTTGGAAATGCAAACAGCGACAGAATGCTTGAACGATTTTTTTTTAAAAAAGAAAGATGGTGAGGAAATAGAAAAGATTTTTGATAGGGGGAAAAACGTGTTTGTCTATGGTAGCAAAGAATCAGGTGTCTGGAAGCAACTGTTCCATTTTAATTTTATAAAATGCACCTTTAAAATTTTTATTTTAAAAATGATTACATATTTAGCAAAATGTGCTGGAAAAAGTGCTAATCCATTTCCCTTATTCTTGAATCTGGCCGAAATTAAGACAAAACCCTACTGACCAGTTCAAAAAAAGTATCTCATTGAGAAATTGGGCTTGCACCGATTTCCACCATGAGTGAGTTTCAGAAGGCATTTTTTTGTGATCCCACAATGATTCCTGAAAAAGAATAACTTGTTTTTCCATACGTACCAAACAAGTTATCATTCCATAATAATAAAATTTCATTTCATACAAATAATAAAAATTCATTGCATATGTTGCAGATATTTCCTGCAAGGTATTGAAATGTAGGAGAACAAACCCATCAGGATAAGATTCAGCAGTCCATCTGCATTTGAAAGACAAAAGCCACTCTTGAAGACAGCAATCTGGACAGAGAGGACTGCAAATTGAACAACAGAGGGACACCTATCTGTCTCCTGTTTACAACAGTCCTTTCTGTATTTCCTAAAAGGTTCCACACCCATTTGCACTATTCAGGTGACCTTGAGGGCACAGATAAACTTCCAAGTGGCCTCAACAATTCTCAGAATGCTAGCAACCAGATAACCACAAGGAATATAAATCCTTCCATTTCTCAACATTCAGTCAGAACTGAAGAAGCTTTTTGGATATGAAGCAAAACGTCTTCAAGGAAAATAAAATCCAGTTGCCTCTTAAAAAACACCTTTGGGACAACTACCAGTATGACCTGGATGACTGAGAATCTCCATAAACATGAAGAGTGAGTCTTTGGGGAAGGATATTCCACAAAGCAGGTACAGAAGCAGCAGGTGCAATCCTCCATCCACTTAACCTTTTGAAAATGGACAACCACTAAAATGTCATTTATCTTGAGCAGATTGAATGGTCTGTAGATGCTTCAGAAGAAGTGCTAAGAATGTGGTAAAATATTTTAACATGACTTTCTAGTAATTTTTTGTTTTCAGCCTGCCCCTCTTAAAAAAAACTGAACTTCCCAGTTACTCAGCAGGTTAACCCAGTGGTCTTTCAGTTGCAGTTGCCTGCTTCAATGAAGATTTATTTGGTATTCTGTCACGCTGCTACTTGTTTGTGAGGAACCTCCCTGCCACTTGCATTCTATCACTGCCCCTCTTTCCTCCACTTTCCCATTTGCTCTGTTCTGGTCCAGGGAAGGAGAATGTGAAATGGAATGTATTCTTGCTTTAGGATGCAGAAGGAAATTTTAGAATATTTGATTCACTGAAAAAGGAGTGAATCTGGGAAGTTGTGAGAAGGTGCAACAGATGACCCATGCTCCATGAATTGTACATCACTTTCATCAGAAATTTCTACATGAGCTTAATCCCCACGATCTTTCACAATTATCAATAGACAATGATACAGAGGATTCTCTTATTTCCAGTATAGGGTGATGTGCACAGGAGATTTTCCAATTCTGGCCAATCCTACATGGCAAGATTTACTTCTTGACCTCAGGGATTTGCCCAGCAAGGTGGAGAAGTAAGTCTGATAGGAGAGGTGATAGGGGTATGGACATAAGTTTGAGGAAACAATGCAAGTATGTTTAATTAAAAGCAACTTAGCCCTGAGGAAAAAGAGAGAGAGAAAAAAGTGAAGATTTTTTTTTTTTTGGTATAAGGAAAGACAGAGATAAATTGTTATCAGGTTGACAATCTGTTTTATCTAAGATGTACACCAACCATGACCTCAATAATCTTTAAAAAGGGAAAATTATAGCCTGGGATTTAAGGATGTCTTCTTAGGGAAGGGGCAAACCATAGCTTCTTTCAAAACTGCTCTCATCAATCTCTACCATAGTGAAGTGTTGATTTTGTTGCCATGTATTTTGAGAGCCAGGAAAGTCTGCAGAGTAATCTGACTGCCAACAGTTGCTAGTTCATTTAGTTCATGCTAACCTAGACATTGGTGTCTGAATATAGGTCTTTTTAACATTCATATTTTATTGTATTTTTAAAATCTAGGTGAAATGTTAATATATATTATAAGTCCGTAACAAGTCCATATGGTAAATAAATATAGTGAAGTGTAACTATGTGCTGGATCTCCTTCCCAAGGAGCCTTGGGGAGGAGGGTAAAATCAAGCCTACAAATAATTGGAGACAACCAAAAGAATATCCTGCTACTTCATCAGAATTCATAAGGCAAAAGCATTTCCAGTTAAATTGGCGAGATGCATACAGTACGTCTCACCACAAGTAGATTCTTTCATGCATAGTCAAGAATAAATCTGAGTTCTCTTTTATTCTAATACCTTGTCTCATATTCCATGAGGACAGTACTAAAATGTTATATAATGTTAATGTAATATAAAGTTTAAAATACAGTTACATATAAAGCAAATGTATAAATACATACTACTACAGAATAATTACATTCATTAGTATCCAGTAAGAAGAGATAATCACTTCCCCAAATTAAATTGTCACGAGGTTAGCTAAATGTACATTATAGAATGTTATACATCTATATGTATTGCACTAACCTGCCCACCCCCAAAAAACCTAACCATTCTTACTACCATTGCTCATATCTGAATTGATGGGATCTCCAATTAAAACTCCCTATCTTCAAGCACTGTTCTATCATTACCTCTTTAGAAATCCATACACACCTTGAAATGTGTGGTATTAGGTTTAGAACAACAAATGAAATGGTTGGGTCAGGGAGTGGGAGGAAGTTAGGAAGGGAAATCTTTATGAGGCATCCACAGTTATTGTATCATCCTCTGTAATTTTCTCTACTTCTTCATCTTTTCCATCTCATCTTTATTGAAATTCCAATTTGGGCCTCCACAAGTAGCATTTGCAGCCTCTGCCCACCCCCCATTTCTCCCAAAAGTTTTGATCTTGCACTTTCTGTACCTTTTTCTTCCTATTCCATTTCACTCCTTAATTTGCATCTTTTCCATCTGCTATATATCCATTCTTATTTTTTTGTATGAATTACAGATCAGTCAAATAATGGTCAAGTTTACTTGACCAGGAATCTGCCACTACTTCCTAAAACTATTTCAGTTTGATTGTTTCCAGCTATTTTGCATTCCCATAATCATTACATCTCTCAATCTTCTTGTTCCAGGAGTCCTGCCTCATGTGGTTGAAATTATCTAGCACTTTACAGACTGTCAGCCACAGAGAGTAGGAAGCATGGCAGTAAGTTATACCTCTAGCCAAAAGCAAGGGGACGCATGCAGTGCACACACACACTAAGCAGACAGATGATTCAGCCAATGTCAAGCATGTCATTAAGGGAGGCTGCCAAGAGGAAGCTTTGGCTTGATGGAAGATCAGAATGGGAACAACCTGTTGAGGAATTCCTCTGTGTCTCGTTTCTGCCTGGGCTGTTAGTTTGATTACTCGTAGGAGGAAATAAGACTGCATTGAGAGAGGGAGAAGGGTTCACTCCCCATTGTTTTACCACAAGGCTTCAATTTTTGTTATACCTAGAGGATCAAACTGACTGTTTACTGTGAATAAACCATGCCTGTTTACTGATGTGCAGTCCTACCATCAGAATTAGTCCATCAGTCATCAGATGTTTTGAGATTTTCCTGGATTTTGGGGAGATGAGTTTCTGCCTGTCCTCTTAATCTCTTATTGTTTTCCCCTTCAGTCACTTGGCAGGAGGATTCCCCAAAAATGTTTCTGCAGACCAATTCTAAAAAAGAAAGAGGCTAAAAAGTAACCGACTATTAAAAATAAAATGAAAGAGCTGGGCTCTAAGAATGACATGAGGAACTTCCCACTCTGAGTCATAAAGAACAGCAAAGTGCTTTTCTTCCAGTCAGCTATAGACTTAAACTGGATGTAAACCGAAGGCCTTTTTATTTGCGAAGCCTTGTAACAGCCGTAGTTTTCCAAAACGTAGTTTTTGTTCAGAAGAAAAACAGTTTAGGTCTGTTTAGATATGAACTGCCTCATACATTTGGTACAGTATTTACTATAGAGGAGCTGTTCTTCCTATCCTCCAGTTCCCCAAAGAGATGAGAGATCAGTGATCTTAATCTTAATTTTAATCCTAACCTATTTGCCACTTGAGATCTATCTAGCCCAGGGGTGGGCAGCTATGGCCCCTTTATGACCTTTATGACCATGCTGGCTCGAGAAAACTGGGAGTTGAAGTCCACTGGGTATATAGGGGGCATAGTTGCCTACCCCTGATTTAGGCTATGATAAATTTCATAATCTGATAAGATTTTCCAATACAGTCTAGATCATAATCTTGCAGTCTATTTTGCAGTGCTTATGGATAAAATCTGATTTTCAGGTTCCTGTTAAATGTATGCACTTTTTAAAACAAAGTGCTATAAGTAAGTAAAGCTGGTGCCATCACAACTGGCAAGCACACTGAACTCAATTGCACGAGGAAGCTATTGTTGTCTAGAAGATTTATTATAAAAATGGTTAGAGAAACATAGATTTTTGGAAGAAAAGACATTAGGAGGACAAGTGGGGACATGTGTGGGTGAAGCAGGGGATATGTTAGGGTAGATCTCACCTTTACAGAAGATCTATTATTGACAGACAAAACACAATTGTTTCTTGCAAATTTCTATTGTATGTACAGAGCAGAAAAATCATTCTTTTGTTTATATATCACAGCACCATTCTTTTGTAAATGTTTACCTTTATTCTATTTTTAATTATTTTAAAACTCCTTAGAAATATGATTGTTTATGCTCCTGTGTAAAATAAAGTCTGAAAAGAAACAGCAGCAAGACTCTTTTTGTATTTACTGCTTCCCCTTCATCTGCTGGGTAAAGATAAAATATTGTCACAGCTAGATCAAGACATATAGGAAGAACTGGATAAGAAAGCATACTTGGGACACCTACTGGATGTATTTAAGGAGACCACAAGTAAAAGGAAATCGTGTCTTTCCCCTGCTGTCAGAGAATAATAAATCCATAATATAGTATCACCAGATGGCAGTATACACAGGACGTAGCATATTTATCTTCTACAGCAAATTCACATCCTTCATTTTGTTTAATTACAGCAGTAGACCAGGGCAGTCCTGGTAGAATGAACATTATGCAACATTCAGCAGAAACCTAGAACGGGGAATAGTTTATCACCTATGCCATTAGAAGGACAATCCAGCACTGTACATGGTGAAAAAAGTAGGAGAATCCTCAGATGCAGCAGGGAAATTTACTAAATATTTGTACGTGAAATATTGCAGGTTAAAGAGAAAACGTCTGTAAGATAAGGTTTGGCCACACACAAATTTTAACTTTGGTCACAATGTCTAAACATGACACACCATTGTTGTTTTGATGCTTTTAAATCATAATTGATCCCTTATGACTTCTTGGTGACTGTCTAGCTATCTGAACTAGACCCTGGGGTTTTCTTGCCAAGATTTTCAGAAGTGGCTTGTCTTTGCCTGCCTCCTGGGGATGAGAGGGAGTGACTGGCCCAAAGTGACCCAACTAGTGACCTTTGTGCCATGGTAAGACTACAACATAGACTCCCTGTTTCTAGCTTGGTGCCTTAACTCAGCGGTGGGATTTGGCTGGTTCGCACCAGTTCGGTAGCTAATTTTTTATGGACTTCGGTGAACCGGCTAAAGCCCTAGCCCTTTTTCGCAAGGCCCAGAACAGACCACTAGAAGTGCATGGATGCAACTTCTGGAAGTCTGTTCTGAACCTTGCGGGCCTGGGGGAGGCCTCCCAGGCCCAGAACAGCTCACTGGAAGTACATGGATGCTGCTTCTGGAAGTCTGTTCTGAGCCTCAGAAACCCAGGAGAGGCCTCCCAGCCCCCAAAAGAGCCCACCAGAAGGGTGGACACCATTTCTGGAAGCCTGTTCTGGCCCTCAGAGGCCCAAGCTGCAAATGGATTTCTGGAAGCGGCTGTTCTGTCCCCGTCTACGTCCGTCATCCTTACGTCACAAACCCCTCTTAAACAGTAGGCTGGGAAAACCAACCTCTTTTTATTTTGAAAACAGTCCTGATAAGTTTTTTTCCAAAACAAAAACACAGGATACTTTCCTAACATAATTGGTTACAAAAGCAAACAGAGCAGAAGTTTAAACAAGAAATTCATTGATAAAACAAAACAGACCATGATCCTTGGAAGTTCTTTACAAATGGTTGCCTTCAGCAACCAGCACTGCCCACACCTTCCCTTTTTATAAAGCAGTCCCAAGGCGTGGCTTCTCAATGCCTTCTCCTCCTCCCCTAGAGTTGTCGTATTGACTGCTGCTGATCTGCTCTAGCTAATTGCGTCTATGAGCATCAATCATGTCCATCAGGTGTGAATCCTCCATGTCTGACTCATTCTCCCCACACAACTGAGCTTCATCCGGAACACGACTGGAGGGCCCAGGCTCTTCATCAAACCTTGAGTCTTGTAATTCATCAGAGCCTCCCTCTGACCCCGATGGCCCTCCAAATGCCTCCTTCACCTCCTCGGATTCCCCGGACTCAGCTGTTGGGAACACAGGTTAGCACGGAATCACGACACTATCCCGCACCGCAGGGCCCTTCCCCCGGGTCTGCTGATCTGGATGCGGTCGGGATGGGAATTGTTCATGAAAGGCGGTCATCAAGGCAGGAGCATGAATGGTGGTCGCATCCTCCCAGGTGAACTCCTCCGGTCCGTAGCCTTTCCATTCAATCAGGTACTGAAAGCGACCTTTCACCCAATGGGAGTCCTGAATGCTGGCAATCTCGTACTCGGGAGCACTGTCTCCATCACGTTCTGGTGGGGGAGGTTGGGCTCGGCAAAGTGGACATGCCGGTTGCTAAGGGACCAACAGAGACTGGTGAAAGACCGGATGTACCCGTAGGAAATGTGGCAGAGTTAAGTAATAGGCGACCGGATTGATGACAGCCTCGATTGGGAATGGTCCTAAATATCGGTGGTCTAATTTCTTGGCTGGCCCGCTTGACGGTAGGTTCCTGGTGGACAGCCATACCCGATCTCCCACCATTAGTGGAGGCGTATCCCGCCTCGACCGATCAACAAACCTTTTGTAGTTGGCCTTGGCCTTCTCCAACTGTTGCTGCACCAATCGATGGATCGCCTGTAACTCTGCCATGTAGTCATTCGCTGTTGGTACCGGTGAGTCTAGCGGGGAAAGATATCCCACATTGGCCAAGAACGTGTCATCTGCGTGGAGGTGTGCTGCGAATTATTGAATGAGAACTAGCCACCGCCAGATAGTCCGCCAAATTGTTCTGCTGCTGATTGACATAGCAGTGCAGATATTGCTCGATGATCCCGATGACCTTGGACCCTCCATCAGTTTGGGGATGATGTGCAGACGAGAGGCAGATCTTGACATCCAATACCTGCATCAACCCCTGCCAGAAATGGGCTGTGAGCTGGGCCCCTCTATCAGACACAACCCTATTAGGAAGGCTGTGCAGCCAGAACATCTGCTGGGTGAACATATGATCATTGCTGCGAGCAGATGGCAAGCCACGGCATGAGATGAAATGCGCCATCTTGGTCAACATGTCCACCACCATGAACACCATCGTGAATCCAGAATATAGGGGTAAGTCCATGAGGAAGTCCACGGACACAGTCCCCCAGGGTCTTTTAGGTGTCGGCAAGGGCTGCAGTAGTCCGGGCGGGGGCCCCATCGCTGACTTGGCCTGTCTACATGGGATACAGGATGTGACTTAGGCCTGGACGTCGTGTCGGACTCAGGGCCACCAGAAGATATGGGAGACCAAATTCAGGGTCTTGAACAGGCCAAAATGCCCCGCTGCCGGATTGACGTGACACTGGCTGAGGATGAGTCCCCTGAATGGCCCTCCCGGAACATAGAGCCAGTCATGATAGTGGAGGAGTCCATCTATGACTGTCCTTGGGGAATTGGGCCCCACCTCCTCCTTTCACTGAGCCACCCATCCATCCTGCTGCTCGGCCTCCCAAATCTGAGCCCATACATCTATCGGCTCCTGCACCACAGCAAAAGACTCGATGGGGAGCACTGTCCTGGGCAGAAGCTTGTCTTCTGCTCAGGAATATTCGGGCTTCCTGGACAGAGCATCCACTCTTTGGTTGTGACTGCTGGGTATGTACGTTACACGGAAATTCAACCTTGCAAAGAAGAAAGACCACCGGATCTGGCGTTGGTTCAATTTCCGAGCAGTCTGCAATTCTTGTGGTCCGTCTGGACCTCGATTTGATGTTGCGCCCCTTCCAGATGATGCCTCCAGGCCTCGAACGCCACTTTAATGGCCAGTAGCTCCTTCTCCCAGATGGTATAGTTGCATTCCGCCGTATTCAATTTCCGTGAATAGTATGCGCAAGGGAAGAGGGCATCGCCTGGAGTAACACTGCCCCAATGGCAATGTCGGAGGCATCCGCCTCCACGACAAACAGCCGTTGCGGGTCAGGATGCTTCAGGATGGACTCCTTCATGAAGGCTTCCTTCAAAGCCCAGAAAGCCCATTGTTCTGGAGCGCCCACTGAAACCGAGTCTTTTTCTGCAGGAGCTGAGTAAGGGGGGCTGTCATGGTAGCAAACCCGGGGATGAAAGTCCGATAATAGTTGGCGAACCCAAGAAGTTGCTGGACATCCTTCACACGACGTGGGGGTTGCCAACTCTGCAGAGACTTGACCTTATTCGGCTCCATGGTGATGCCCTCAGGAGAAATGCGGTGACCCTGGAACTCGATAGTCATCTGGTAGAACTGGCACTTCTCCAGTTTGGCATACAGCCGATGTTCTCGGAGCCACTGCAGGACCTGACGGAGATGCTGATGGTGCACCTCTCGCGATGGGGAGTAGATCAGGATGTCATCCAAGTAAATCACGGCAAACTGATCTAACAAGTCCCGGAAAATGTCGTTCATAAAATACTGAAACACGGCAGGAGTGTTGGTCAGGCCAAATGGCATCACTGTGTGCTCAAAGTGCCTGTATCGAGTACCAAACAACGTCTTCCACTCATCACCCGACCAAACTCTGACAAGGTTGTAAGCTCCACGCAAGTCCAGTTTTGTGAAGATCTTTGCCTCCCAGAGCTGGTCCAAGAGTTCAGGGATGAGGGGCAGCAGGTATCGGTTGCACACCATGATGGCATTTAATTTCCTGTAATCACAGCAAAGCCGCAATTCACCGGACTTCTTCTTGACAAAGAGCACGGGTACTGGTGAGGATGAGGGCCGAATAAAACCCCGAGCCAAATTCTTGTCCAAAAAGTCCCACAACGCGGCCAACTTGGGGTCTGACATGGAATACAAATGCCCCACTGGGAGAGGCATGTCAGGGACTAAGTCAATGGGGCAGTCATAGGGCCTGTGCGGGGGCAATTGATCCACCTCAGTCTTGCTGAAAACATCAGCATAATCTGCTAGTTCAGAGGGTAAGGAGACTCCCGTGGGCCCCTCTACCTGGCCGGCACAGATTTGGCGGGTGTGATCCACGTACTGTAAGCTTGGGAAGATGACCAAGTTCTGTGACCAATAAATCTGTGGGTCATGCGCCGGGAGCACGCCAATCTGAAGACCACGGGGAAATGCAGGTCTGCGTGATATAGAACTGGATGGCCTCCTCATGTGAACTGATGGCTATACATAACGGTTGCATGGCGGCCTTAATTGGCCCACACAGGAGCACTCGACCATCAATGGTCTCCACTAACATCAGTGGTTCCACCGGGCATTGGGGAATCGCCCATTTGGCCACAAATGCTGTGTCCATAAAGTTTGTAGTGGCCCCAGAGTCAATCAACGCATGGACTGGAATC